GATATGACTCATCTATTATTAGCTCATCATGCTAATCCAAATATACCATCAAAATGTCATTTAACACCATTACATTTATGTGCACAAGAAGATCGTGTTAAATGTGCTGAAGCATTAATTAATAAAAATGCTAATATTGATGCACAAACACTTGTAAGATGAAAATTTTCAATTTATATATAACAATATCATTTGTATAAAATTTCTATGAATAAAGATGAGTCTATTTCTCATGAAAGAACTTCTTCAAATGCTCTCTCTCTCTCTTTCGATTTCAATGATTCCTTTTTTTTGTCTAAATTTTCGGAAAAATCGTGTTTTCGAATTTTGATCAGAAATTTTATGCACATAGAGAACGCAATTAGATTAGCTTCCATAAAAAACAAAATTTAGAAGAAGTCTCTTCGAGATATGAAGCTTTCAAAAAAAAAAAAAGAGATAGGGTGTACATTTTGAAAGTCTCATATTTCAAAGAGATTTTTTAGTAGAGAGAACTTTTCAAACATGAAAATCGCTTTTGAGTTCGGATTTCGTGCATAACATAGACCGCAATGAGGTATTAATAATCTTTTCAAAAAGTAGATCTTCTCTACTAAGTCAGAGCCATTTGACTGAAATTTTAGTCTATCGTATGGTATGTACATAGGCAATCGAATGACGATACTTTGACTTGATTGTTTTGAAAATTCGAGAATCTCATATTTTTTTGGAAATTCAATAACTTATAACAGGACATTTAACTCAAAATGTTATCATTCGCTTGCTTTTGGATATCTTGTGCTGTCAGTTAAATGACTCTAACTCTTAAGTGAAGGCTTTCTTTTTTTGGAAAAGTTTTTAATACTTCATTATGATCTTCTTTATACACAGAGTTCGAACTCAAAAGTGATTTTCAAGTTGAGAAGATTTCCTTTCTTGTCAGAGAAAGTATATTTATTCTTAGTCTTGTCATGCGAGTATTTATCTATACGACTATAATAATAATAATTATTATTATTATTATTGTTTTTCTTCTAGAGCGGTTATACAAGTTTACATGTTGCTTGCCATTTTGGACAAATAAATATGGTTCGATATTTACTTCAATTAGATGCGAATGTTAATATAGAAACAAATGTAAGAATATAAAAAAATTCTTTTTTTATTTTTCGAATAATCTTTTTATTTCGGTCTATTTATTTTCTTCTTCTTCTTCTTCCTCTTAAAGCTTATGTTTACACCACTTCATTCAGCTGCTCAACAAGGTCATGTTATGATTGTTAAATTATTACTTGAACATGGTGCTTCACCAAATAAAACAAATAAAGTAAGATTATTTATTTTTGCTTTACAATTAAATATAATTGTGTTTTGTCATTCATAGCATGGAATGACAGCTTTATCAATTGCACAACGTCTTGGTTATATATCTGTTGTTGAAGAACTTAAAGTTGTTACTGAAACAACAGTTGCTAGTAAACATGAATTATTAAGTGAAGAACGTTATAAAGTAAATATCAATTGAAAAGAAAAATAAAAATAGAAGTTTCCTTTTTTTTATTTTTTTTTAAATCTATTATTAATTTTGTTTTTTTAGATTCAAGCACCAGAAATATCTCATGAAGAACAACCATTAACTGATTCGGATGATGAAGGAGGTAAATAAAAATATATTTTTTTTTTTATTTTTAAGAAAAAAAAAACAAATTTTTAACTAAATAAATACAAAAAAATAAAAATAAAAATTACATATAATCATCATCAAATTATCTAGATGATGAAAAAAAAATTGCTAATGAAATAATTTATCCTGAAATTGGATATTTCGAAATGGCGAGAGCTCTTAACAATTTAAAAAGCAAACAAAAAACGACTACAGGTAGTCGTATGTTTTGCAGTTTGGATTTCTTTTTTTTTTTTTTGCCTGACAAAAGAATGAAATCAATAAAAATTCTTATGCTTTTTTCATCCTTCAGATGCGCTCGCATGAATTATGCTATGACCCTCTTCCAAAAAAAAAAGAAAGATTTTATTATTTACATGATAAAAACATTGAAGAAATGTTTATATTTAGATATGCTTGGTGATGCTAATTCAAATATTCATATGCAATATTTACGTGAAGGTGTTTTAATGACTGAAGCAGAAGAAAATAAACTTAATCAAGTATCATTAATTAAAGTAAAGAATATTTTTTTTTAATTATTAATTTAATCGAAAAGATCCCATCGAATTTGGTGACCTATTCTGAATCAGAATGTCATATATATGATCTTGTAGAGCATCGAATGATGTTCTAAGATAAGCTTATACAAATTTTGTTTTTAAACTCATTTTGATACAATTCTAGGTGTTTCTCAATTTTCTATAATCAATAGTTTTCATACTTGATAATAGTTCATTTTCTTAGATCTCAATTATTTCTTGACTATATGAATTATTCCAGTGTTAATTGTCCTATTAGAAATTTTTATGTATCAATAATCAATACAGTATCCCTAATGAATTGATATAGATAATTACTTTATAAATGATTAAAAATAAAATTATTGATCTTCTGATCCCTGAAGAGGGAGTATGGAGATATAGAGAAATTTTCTTTTTTTTGAAATGAATATGAGATATTTATAGATTCTTGTAGAGTTTCATGGAAAAATTAAGCATAGATACTCAGAATAAAAATTTGAAAGAGTAATTTTTTCATATCTTCTAGAGGTCAGGAGATCAAAAAATGTTTTTTTTTCTGTCTGTAAAAGAGTTATTTATATCAGAGATGCCATGCTGATTATTAATATATAAAAAGTTGTAATAGGACCATTAAATGTTATTAAAACATCATTAATATTCCACCTCCTTTATATAGGAATGTCGGCAATTACAGGGCACAATCTTACAAATTGACAATGAGTGCCTGCTGTTCTAAACGATGTTATCTATGAAACATATATAACTTGATAGTGTGTAATTTCTCAAATAAGTTACTTGTCCTGTGACATAGAGTCAAACACACTGAAATATCATAGACCTGCGAAAATAGACCATTGTCAAATATGCAGAAAGCAACGATGAAAACTATTGATTATAGAAAATTGAAGAGCATTTATAATTGCATCGAATTGAGTTTAAAAACAATAGTTGTATCAGCATATCATAGAATATCCTGTAATACTCCCTAAGCATTATAACCAATGGTATCGACCGTTAGCGCATCAAAATTTTCATAGACCACATATATATATGATATTTTGATTCAAGATCGATCACAAAATCCGACAACGCCCTTTGAATTATGATTATATATATATATATTAATTTATAGGAAGAATCTGAATATCCAATATTAGCAACAAAAGATGGTTGGAATGAAAGTCGAGATAATTTACATGATCAACAACAACAAACACCTATTAAAACACAACAAACATATATGGCTGATAATGAAATAATAACTAAACCGCGTCATGGAGGGTAAGTTTGAATATGATATATATATATCTTTTCTTTGTTTTTAATTTATATTGAATGAGCATGAAAATATTTGTTGCTATGTGTGTGATGTGTATACATATTATCTATTTTTTAGGGATCGTTTTCACTATCGATCGTAAGTGTTCGCACATGCTTAGTTAATTTACTGCTAGATCATTAATCATCTTAGATTACTTACTTACTTACTTAATTAGTTAATTATTATTTTTTCATTTAATATAATATGTTTATTTTATGTATAGATTTTTGGTAAGCTTTTTGGTTGATGCTCGTGGTGGTGCAATGCGTGGTTGTCGACATTCAGGTGTACGAGTTATTATACCAGCTAAACGTGCTAGTATGCCAACAAGAATAACATGTCGTTTTGTTAAACGTGATAAATTAACTGTACCACCACCATTAAATGAAGGTGAAGCATTGGCAGCAAGAGTTTTAGAAGTTGGACCTGTTAGTTGTAAATTTCTTGGGTAAGATAATAAAAGGTTTCGTTTG